CAGGTGTAGGAAAGTGAGTCTATTGAACAGATTGCAGGCAAGGATCTTCCTAGCTATGGACAGGAATGCAATGCAACAGTAATTGTTGAAATCTGACACATCTCCTTTCTTGAATATGGTAATGATTCTGGCATCTCAAATCTCTGGAAATCTGTTCATGTTTCCAGATGTTTATAATAGTGACATGTAGCTGGAGAGAGAGCATTTTCCCACATTGCTTATAACTTTCAGCGTTGTGTTATGCTTTGTTGTTCTTCGTCTGCTTAATGGCTTTCAAGGCTTTCTCAATAAATTGGTGGATCTGCAAAGTAGACCTTTGCAGAATGGCTTTGATGTTATTGTCTTTCATATTAAACTCTCAGATTAGGAGCTCTTGGAAGTGCTTCTTCCACCATGCGTTAATGGTGGTGCTGTCTTTAAAGACTGTTGTTCCATCCTTTGACAAAGCAATAAATGGAGAACTTCATGGATGTACCCCCCCACATCCTTTGATCTCAGAGGGGTGATTCCTCATGTGCTTGGCCCATATATAGTTTTTGTTGCACTGAAGAAACTATGCATGTCACACCTGTTGACATCTCTTTTGCTTTGTTCTTCCTCCCCCCCCCCCTTGTTCATTTTGTTCTTGAATTTTCTTTTGGGTCTCAACTTGAATGTATTGATAGGTGTCTTGCTTTTGTTTGTGGTTGGTGTCATTCCACCAAACTTTGAAGGCTGTTCTTTTTCTATCAGTGAGAGATTGTGTTTCCCTACCATTCTCTGTGAACCAGTCCTGATGTTTCTTTCTGGAGAAGCCTAGAGAGTCTTCACACATTTCATGGTTGCCTTTTTTTGAGGCTCTCCCAGTGATCAATGGTGGCAAGATCATCACCAGGGAGGTTGGAGAGATTCTCACTGAGACACTGCTGGAAATATCTGCTCTTAGGAGGGTTTTTCAAACACTCTATTGATCCTCTTCCTTGATTGCTTCTTACATTTACATTGTTCTGAGGTGATATGAATTGACATGATGGAATGTATCAAATGATGATCTGTCCAGCAGTTGTCTGCACTGGTCATAGCTCTGGTGATATGGACATCACAATGGTCTTAGGTATGCACATAGTCGATCATCAACCAGTTACCACTGTTTTGAGTGGGGGTACATCCATGAAGTTTTCCATTTATTGCTTTGGCAGAGCAAGGAGTTTATAATGATGAGATCATGTTCTGGACCCTTGCCCAGAAGAAGAATTCCATTTCAAATGACTTTCCTCATCTCTTCCTTTTCAAGAATTCCTTTCCATAGCTCAGAGCCCCTGCCTATTCCAGCACTGCAATAGCCAGGAAGAATTATCTCCTCTTCTTTGGGGACAGATGACAGAACTTGGTTGCATTTAGCATAGAATTCTTCTTTTGTTTCATCACCTGCATTGAGGGTCAGGGCATGTGTACTAATGATTTTGCATGTTGTCTGTTGGGCAGTTGAAGATGAATGGTCATGAGATGGTCAGTGGGTGCGTTTACTTGTGTGCTTTAATGCACAGTATTCTGTTCTCTTGTGCATTAAAGCATCATGTCAAAAACAGTGCTAATACCCTAATGCACAGTAGAATTAGTCTACTGCATATTAAGCATCACTAAAAAGATGCTTGCTTTTTCTACTGCACACTAGGGCAGCCTAATCCACCTTTGTGTAGTACCTCATATTACCTTATATTAGAGGACATTTAAACACATACATTTGTCTGCTCTGACACACTGTATATCTGGTGTGTCAGAGCAGACTCAATTAACCTTCAATGCATTTTAGTTCCAAAGTGTGCTGCTGCCATTTTCTCAGGGCTGACGCGCATTTTGCCATTTATACAAATGCATGCACTGCAGCGCAAGCATGTGTACAAATGCCCAGAGATACTAAACTTAATGCACAGTAACAAAAGCACATTAATGACTGTGTAGACATGCCCAGTGATGCTGAGGGGACATTCCAGCATCTAAGTAACAACCTTGGTCTTGATAGGAAAACCAATGTTATGGATGTGTCTGACTTTCTTTTTCTTCCCAAAAGAAGGAAAGAGTTTATATCTCTATAGAGATATAAAAAGAATAATTTTGTGTACTAGAACTGTGCACAAAAATAAAGATTTGCTTGATTGGCCTTTTGTTCCTGATCTAATTCTCAGTATTCATGAGCTAGCTAAGGGAAACTAAAATAAATTTGGTACATTGCAGAATGGTTCATAAACCAGGAGATTTTAGGCTACGTCTTCCACTGCAGTAAATGGCAGTGAGTTCAGTGGAGTAATATCCATTTACCCCAGCCAAGTATCTGGCCCTTAAGCTCTGAAATGTAAATCAAAGCATAAAACTGAGAAGTAACAATCTTGTAAAATATGCTAAGAATCCAGAAGTTGTTACAATAGAAAATGGCAGAAGTTAAAACCATTTTGAATATGACTATGTATGGGCAGCTTCTACAAGCTGGGCTGGCATTTATGTTTAGGTGCAGCAAACTGCTGCTGCTGCTATTGGAAGTTAGAGACAAATCTGGAGAAAGTGTGGCTGGAGGGGTGATGGGAGAGTAAAGTCTTTCTCCAGGTAGAGTGCCAAGGAAGTGATTGCTTTTCTGCTGGGGAAGGCACTGAATATCTCTCCAAGAACGGTGTGTTACCAGGTGGAGACTGCTGCAATAGAAAGCCCTTTCTAAGGATATGGTTAATTAGGACAAGCTTCTGCAACTTCTCCATGCTTATCTGAACCAGTCTTTGTGAATCATTAGATATGCACCCAGTACTAGTTATAACAAGACTTACATAGCAGGGAACATAAAACCTCAGACCACCTTTTCCCCTCTCATCCTACAACACTATATTTAGTCCAATACCTCACTAATCATTTCTGACAAAGGTCTATGTATTTTTTTCATGTTCTGTAAATTCAGACACATTATCTGTGTGTGCACATTTTAGGTTACTGCAGTCTCAGAGAGCATTAAGTAACACCTCATATATTGTCATTTTTTATTTTATGGGCTGGCTGACAGGAGAAGTGATTAGGATGTAATAGGACTCTAGCATGCTGGATCCTTAGCTGATTTAAATTAGAGAACTCCACTGGAAGCAATGGAGATATGTGGGCTTACATGAGCTCTGGGTATGGCCCAGAACATCCACAGACCTGTCCTTTAGAGATCAAAGGCCTAATTCTCCTCTTTGCTTTACCATTTTCAAGCTGATATAACTCAAGTTACAGTCAATAGGGTTATACTAGCATAAAGAAGGTGGAGTGAGTTGTTTAGTCAGGAGCCAAAGGATAGCTGATTTTGAGCACAGTAAGAGGAGATGGAAGAGTCCTGGTTGTACTTTTTTACTGAGAAGAATGCAGGAAAGTAGGGAAATGGATCTTTCCTATTAAAGTTGAACAGTAAGGTGTGCAAAGCAGGCCCTATTTGATTTGGATTCGGCGTGAATCAGGGACAGTGATCCAATTCATTGATTTGGATCGCTGCCTCGATTCAATTTGGCCAAATCCGAAGATTCAATGCTGATTTGGAGAATCAGCAATTCAGACATAGACACAGCTTTAAGTGTTTTTTCTATATACCTTGAGAAGTGCTTCTGGTCCATTTCCGGGTCTGCTGCTGAGTGCGCTGAGGAGCCTCCCGTGCTTCTGCGGGACTCTGCAAGTACCCCACCATCTCAGCATTCATGAGCCTCTTGCTATCTTGAGGTATGTAGAAGAAACATTTAATGTGTCTATGTCCAAATCGCTGAATCTTTTCAAATCTCTCCGAATTGATTCAGTGGGTTCAAATTCTATTTGGATAGATTAAAGGGTCCTCTGATTTGATTCAGATTCAGAGATTCAGCCACCGAATTGAGCCAAATCTCTACCGAATCACATTAGGGACTGAAGCTTCGCACAGCCCTATTGAACAGGTGTTATATCCTATCCCATGCGGCTTTTTAGATGGTGTTTTCTAATTGTAGAATTTCTTTTTAGCCCAAGACTGGCAAGGTCCTCTGGATAGAAAAAATTGATTTTTGGCTGCTTTCAATTCAAGGTCGTTTCCCTTTGTTTTGGACCAAATTAGTTACCCCCAAAATCAGTGAGAGCAAGACTGGAAACCATGTGTCTCATTCTTGAGGGTGGAGATAGCTCTGGGAATTTAAGAGTGGTAATGATCTTTAGCTCTCATATTTGAAGGAAATTCTTATTCCACTGAATCATCCTAGTGAGATGACTTGATAAGGTGAGCAGGGCTTACATCTATAGGTATATATGCATAGGAAAATGAAGGTGGGATTGTAGCACATGCTAGTCTACCAGAGGTAGTTTGATTTAGCTGGCACTGGTAAAAATAGCAGTGAAGAATAGCATGTGTTAGCATCCAGAGTATAAGTCATTTGGGGACCCTGAATGTACTCTGGTTGCTGGCCTATCCATAGTCTGTGCTGCCACCTCTACATTGCTACTCTTGCCTTGGTTAGGTTAAAGCAAGGACTGGCATTATAGCATGTGCTACAGTAATCAGACTTTCATTTTTCGGTGTGGCCATAACCTGTGATCAGATCTTTTATCTGTGGTTTCGCAACAGTGACACCTGGAGTTCACTAAAATATTTGTATGAGTGCTTATAAAATAGGTATGCCAGTGCAAGCCCAGGAAGTTTAGACTAGGGATTAGTAGAAATTGATCTACCTTACTCTCCTTCAAGACTATTTGTGTTGTAGGGCAGAAACCATCCTAAGCATCATTTGGAGTACAGTAGATTCTAAATCAACGAGGACTTGAATGGATTCTGCCAGGATTTAAGGGCTTAGTGCCAATACTGTAAGTAGATTATCTGCTGTTATCCTAGAAAGTAACAGTTCTGAACCTTTAAGGTGCATTTAGGAGAAGGAACCTGCTATGACAATACCAAATAAGACATCTCGTGTCATACGCAGGCTCTGACGCTAGTTGACCCAAGCAGATCTGTGTGTATAATGTGAGATTTTTTTTCTTTTTAATTTTAGAATCTACCTTGTCCTATGTTAGGCAGCTGGAGGCAAGAGTAAGACAGCTGGAGGAGGAAAATCGCATGCTACCCCAGGTGGGTGACTTCCTGTTGATAGGAACAGTAGCTGAAGCTAGACAGTAACGCTTGAGTCTTAGTGTTTAAGATAAAATCAGTGTTTTCTGTAATTTTACATTGATGTAATTGAACACACACAGTGATCAAAGGCTCTCATTCCAATAATCAAAAGCTCTCACTTCCTTCTTGTTTTTATTTCTCATTAATGATTCTAGTGAGGAATTTCTACTGGTGTGTCTAAGACTATGACAATACTTCTGTGCATTTTTCTTGCTTGCATTTTTCTCCTTGACATCTGTTACCACCTTGATAATAAAAAGTTCACTAGGGATAATATGTTTTTTATAATTGACAATCAATTAAGATGCTTTAAATGATAGACAACTGACCCTTTGTATTTATGCTTTCATTCTAAGAGTCTCTTTATTTCTTTACCATAAACCATTGATATTTCAAATGCTTTTTCTTTGGTTAACCAAAAACTAATTGGAATTGTAAATAGAAATTTCTCAAGTAATTAAATAATAACTTGATTATATCTACTTGTGATGTTTTTACAATTGCATGATATGCTTAAAAGAGAGGCTGAAGTTCAATTAAAAAATAAACATAAAGATGAAGGTTTTTTTCCATCTGAAATTAAAGTTTTCTTTGGATAGGCTTTTCTTTTCATTTTAAACATTTTTTCTTCATTAGAAAAAGTTAGACATTCATTGTATTTCAATATATATGATTAACTGTTAATGAAGTAGTGTGTGTTTCTGTTATACAGAAATAATACATTTTGCTTTATCATTTTGTTTTTATTTTATATTGATTGATTTGGGGGAAATTAGTGATTTTTTTTTTTAATTGAGGATTTTGTCTACTTTAAAAAGCAAACCTGTGTAGTACCAGTTTAAATGATGAGCTTGTTTGGATGAACTTTTGTTGTATTTATTCAGAACATTGTCTTTAGAATGTAAAATCCAAGATAGTGGTGAATTGAAGGGGAAGTAAAATCTACTGAGTAATTTATTCATTTATATACACCGTTATATACACCACAGACACAAATGCATTATGTAAAAGAGCGTAGGATTTATTTTTGTGATGTCCTTTGCTAGTCTAGATTTTAAACTACGTTTTGTTGTGTGTCAGTAGGCTAATTGTAAGAAAGACTTCCTTATTTAGCTGCTGGCTTATTATCTGACCTTGAGCAAGTCATTTTACTTCTTGGTACCTTAGCTTATCCATCTGAAAAACAGGCATTACCAAGGGGTAATGAGAATTATTTAATACTATACTGATAAAAGGCTGTAGGGCTTTTAATAGGAAAGCCATTGTGTGATATATAGCTTCTCTCACTCCTTGGAGTCTCAGAACAGCAGAGACTTCCTATGCCTGAAAAAGGGTGACTGCACCTGAAAGCTTGCTAAGAACTTTTTTCCAATATCTCAGTTGGTTTAATAAAAGATATTGCATCGACTCAAAGAACATTGCTTGCCTATGTCCTTAGACCAACACGGCTACAACCAAAAACCTCAGAAGTGACAGGAAATTTCACCTACTTCCATTTAAGAGGTGCACAAATTGAGGCTCACGATGGGGGCAGTGTGAGCTCAGAAAGTATGGAGCAGCCATCTTCTATAAATCCATCCCAGTTAAGGTGTCTCAGGCTGGGGATCCAAAATCACTAATCCTTTTAGGAAAATGATCACAAAGTCTATAGCAGACCCAAAACACCCTGATGAGAGATATGCAAGGGGACTAATTAGATCAGCAAAAAAGTCTGTATCATGCCTTCTGTTGACAAATATATGCTGTATGGCTAGGGGGTGGAGGCAGTCTTCTGGCTTGATTTTATTTATTCATTTTTTAGCACTAGGACTAAGAGGATGCAACTAGTTTTGTCAAATCCCAATAAATGCTGTATCATCAGAAATTATGAGAATGACACGTGAGTTTGTGTGTCACTCCCAGCACGTCTCGTTCAACCTGAGAATTTTATTGCCTTCAAGAGAGGAAGAAAGAAAAGGCCTCCAGCCTATACTGAAGTCACATTTGATTATGTTGTGTTCCATAATGGTACCAAATAGGGAACCAGCCCAGAATCATTTTCTAGAAAGGTTTCTCCTAAGTCATTAGGTGAGTTCTCTTGTTCAGGGCACCATTCCCTATGACCTCTTTCCATCCCTTTAAGGTTGGCAATATAAAAAGAGCAGCAGTGGCTAGACTCGTCTTATTTATGGGCTTGTTGTCAGTATGGGCAACATGCTGAACACAATTTCAGAAGCTCCTTATGTTGTACTAACTTTGTTTCTGATGATTTCAGGGAGAGTTTTATGGGAGTTAGGTTAATGCTGAATACTTCATCAAATCCACAAAAATGACTAATTCACTACACATCAAATGAGGATCTTATTCCACTATAGGCATTGTTTAATTAAAGTGCTGTGTCTTAAAATCCCATCCATGTTGCAGGTAGGGACTGTCTTTCTACAAGAATTCTGTTTTTTATTGGAAGTAACCCTGATGAATAGGTGGAATTTTAAAATGTCGAGACTGTATATATCAGAAGATAGTTTTACTCAGTAGGCCTGAATGAATGAATTTTACCATCAGGGATCTTTCCTGATTCTTCTGAGGCTTCAAATAGTGCTGCATAGGATGCTTCACTTTTCTTTTCCACTTACTTCCCTTCTCCTATCATCCTGCTAATCACCCTGCTCCCTTCCTTTCTCTTCTCCCTTTACTATTCAGATCCTCTCTTCCTCTTCTCCTGGTTCCAAACTTATACTAAGTTGTTAGTGGCACACCATTTAAGATGTGTATCTAAAAGGTTTTATTAATATTTAGCAGCAGGGACATCTATAGATATGAGTGTTTCAAATGATACCTGCATTGTTCAAATTGAATCCTAAACTCTTGTTTGCTATATCATACCAAGAGTTTACAGTGGCTGAGGAAAAATGGTACCCACAGTGAATCCTTATTTCAATGTAATCAGTCTAATTTGGAAAAGTTATAAAAAGGTATAAAAAATGCATTTATTCATTTAAGATTGTAACAGCTTGCCCTTGTTGTGCACAGTTTCTCAAGTGCTAGTTGATGGCATGTTAGGAGGTTTAGGAATTTTGAGAAGCTAGAGACAGGTTATGTTTGCACAGTTGGTGAGGGTTGTCATTTACAGGTATTTATAGCAGATAGCATGTAACGAGGTATTATCCATTTCAATTTATAGTTGCAGTTATGAATTTTAGGCAAGAAAGCAGACACTTTCCAAGTTTTTACATCATGAAGCTGGCTTTTTTCTATTAAAGATGCCAAACTGCACTGGTGAGGCATGAAGATGCAGGTTATTATTGGTTCGTAATAGTATTTTTGAAGCACTAAAATAGATAGCAGTCCTTGCTAATGATGTACACAGGGAGATACAAAACGTTTGTAGCATGTGCATTGGGTACAAGGAGACCGGCAGCATGGATCAAGATTTTGTTGAGAGACTAGTGATATGACTGGAAGTTGTTCTACACGCTTCACAGAATCACAAAATTGTTCAGACTTTGGAGGATCAGAAAATACACAGACAGAGAAATCAGGGTGATCAGCTTGTTTTCAGTAGATATGGAAGGGTACTTCCAGATTTTATATCATTAAACAACCTAGTCTACAGAGTGAGTTATTTCTTTTATGTATTTAGCACTAGCTGCCATTTCAGGGTAAGGCTTACTAAGCATAATCACTGAAATACTTCTTTTGTACCAGGCATCGTTTTTGGCTGGTAAATTCACCCAAGCAGGGAGTGTGCCCAACTTAAGAATACATCAAAGACTATTTCCACTGTATGGTAATGTTACTTAGGGTTGTGAATTTTGTGATAATTTTATATTGGCAAAAGCCCTAGAATATATTTAATTATACTGATATATACAAGTGTGTAACTAGTGCTTATATCTTTGGGGAACTGGCATGGGCTCTACAGGGAGAAGCACTTAAAAGGTTTGCTGATATAGTTACATCAGCAAACCTTTTCCAGTGTAGGCTAGGCCTTGCTGAATGGGCT